AATTAAATTACCTCTTCGATGTAGGAAGAGAGAGAGAGAGAGAGAGAGAGGGTTTGCTTCTCTCCGTCTTCCTCCTCGTTCGATCGAGGAATCAATCGTTGTTTCGGGGAAAAAGTTGGCTCGATCATACAACAATCGAACAAGACTTCGCTTCTCGAATTATCTCTCGAATCAAAAAATTGGACGAAAATTGAGATTGGACAGGGATCGAATTTAATAACCTTTCAATCGTTCACACGTTCATATCCGTTTCATTTCGGGTATTCGAGATATCAAACTTTCCCAAACGTTATGATCATTCGAAGGTAAACGAGCGCGGCGATAAACTCTCGGAATTCGTCCAGATATTAAACCAGACTAATATCAACCGAGTGTACACAATCCTGGATGATATCTCGATAAACAACTCGGCTATTTTTTTCTCTCTTCCCTCCCCTAATAAACTAGAAACGTTTGTAAGCCCGCGAGTCTCGTTCCGGGTCTCATTCGCATCATCACGAGGTAAGCGACAACCCTCCTAAGCAAAATCAACCCTCCCTTGTTTACCGCTCAGTCAAACAGCGAGGATCTTTATTAAAAGCGGGAAATCGAGGGATTGAAGACGCAACGGTGGATAACGTACGGTTTGGCGAAGAAAAAATCGAGGGGAAGACGCTCGACTTGAAATTTCCCCGACTTGAAAGCCATCTTTCGACCTCGCGTCGAATATTTCGCGAAAATTGCGTCACCGAATTCGCATAGTTCGTCCGGCCGGTGGTGTTGGAAGTTGGCAACTCTGGAATGAACAGCGTCATCGAGTTCCTCGCGGCTAGGAATCCGATTACGCGCGCTCGTGTCGCCGAAATTTCCATAGAATTTTCTTGGGAAAGGAGGGGAACGTAGATCTTCCTCGAGGCGATCGTGATGATCTTTTTGTATCAGACTCGTGCGTGGCGTGGCACTGGTATCGTGTATGCGAGGCACACAAGACGGAAACAAGGATTCGCAATTTCCACGGATAAGGATTTCGATATGGGGAGAGGCGTACGTAATCCGTGAGCGTGCACGTGATCGAAGTTGAATGGCGATCGAAGGCTCTGCCTTTGAAACTGCCTCTCCCGTGTAAACTTATTCCTCCACGTGGAAGATTTGGCCAACTTTCTTGCCGAGGCAAATCCAAGAAGGATTTATAATAAACTGGCTGATGTAAAACGAGACTACTACTACGGTGGGGTGTAGTATCCGCGAGATTCAGGTCGTGATTCATTTTCGTTTTTTTCTTTCTCTTTCTCTCTTCCGCTATTGTTGGCGAATAAAAATGGGGAATTGATTAAGCGAAACGGGGAATAATAAATGGACATTGACTTTAGAATTTTCTTCGCCACGCTTTGTCTCTTTCTCTCTCTCTCTCTCTCTCCTCTCTCTTCCTAGTTACGCGTTTCAGGTCACCGTGGTAATTTTTCATCGACGAATTTCAAAGAACTAGCAACGGTCTCTTTTCATCTTTTCCTCGAGAATTGAAAGATGAATGGGGTTTTTCAACGTTGGAAAAAAAGGAAGAGAGAGAGAGAAGAAAAAAAGGAAAAACAGCGGCCGGTAATTTTTCACCTACGAATTTCACAAACTAGCGAACGTTCTCGATTTTCTCCCTTCCCCTCTCATCGCGGCAGAAATGGGCGCGGAACACGGGTGGTGAACCCAGAAGAAGCGGAGAGTATTTAACCCCCGACGAAATATTAAGGTTCGAATATTTTTTCGCCTCACTTTTTTAATGATCAAAGAGGTAACTGTAATGCCATAATTAAAACGGTAAAAAAAAAAAATAAAATTTAGGTTAATCACAAGATTAGTACCCGGTAAAAATTCGTCGAAAAAACATTCGTTCGTTGTGTGTTAATTAAGAATTAAAAATCACTGTCCTTTTGAAAAAGAGAAAAGTTAAGAGTTACGTAAGCATATTTTAAAGCGAAGAGGGTCATTAGTATCGAGGCAACGAAAATCAATTTTTCTTAGTCTCCTCTAGGGATAAAAAGAAACTGGAGGAAGATCATTAGTATCGAGGTTAAAAAGAAGATCGAAGTTCATTGCTTTCCAATCAAAAACTGTCCAAAAAAAAAAAAAAAGTTCATCCACCTAAACTAACTATCCATCTCTTAATACGCACATTATATCATATACCCGTATTTCAATACTACTCGACTCGATTTGTATAACAAAAAAGATTAATTAAAAAAATCAAGATCAATGATTAAATTTAATAATCCACTCGATCAATCACCAAGTTTACGCAGGTATCAAAGTCCTCTCCAAGTTCAAAGTTTCCCAGGAAAATCCCGCGAGGATTTCATCGCGACTATATATATATAGAGAGAGAGAGAGATCGAGTAAATCGCTTCGAACGTCAAAGATCCCTCTTCCCCTGTTAAGGTGGGGCGCGCACTTTCCACGGTACAATTTCTGCTTACGTATTACCGCGACGCATAACTGCTACGTTATCAAAGGAGAATGGCGCTCGGAGAATTTCCGGCTTCATAGTTAACCTACTGCGTGTGCACGGCCGCTGACCCGGACTCCGGGCTTTGGAAATCTTTGGAATTGTTCGCGCGTCAAAAGCCATTGTTCCGACGATGTTGTCACGAGAATAATTCTCGCTTCGTTGTTCCCCGGATTTACGAATATTTTTTTCCCCCTTTTTCTCTTTTCTTCTCTTCTTTTTTTTTTTTTTTTTTTTTTTGAACATCTTCCCCTCCTGCTCCTTCGTCACCGTCCACGTTTTTCCTCCAAAACGCGTCGATCGCGTTAATCGCGGTTTTCAAATTAATCGCGTTCGTTCGAGCTGTATGTTGCGTGTTATCTTTTCTTTCGTGGTTTATTGTTTTTTTCTTTTTTTTTTTTTGGGTTTTTATATCTTTTATATCTACACCCCTTTGTCCACTGTGAATGGTAAGTGTTTAAATGTCAATCTTCGTTTCAAAGGGGAGGGAAAAAATATCGAAAGATATTAAGGCATTGGCGAGGATTTCGTCGATGGTATTTTCAATGGTTATCTTTCGCATTGTTGCCGCGTGAAACGCGTGTTCACCCCGAAACGATCTCGAACTCTCGTTGCTGCGAGAACGATTTGACGTTGCGTTTTTCGATTAATACGAGATGGATTAACAGATCGATCGACGCGCGAAATGGAATTTGAAATCAAGTTTTCGCAAGTAAACTGGCGTCTCTTTGAGAAAGGAATATATATAAAAAAGGAGAGAATTTACTTTGGATCATCAAAAAAAAAAAAAAACAAGTATATAACGCTGACTCTAAAAGAAAATTACGATAGAATTCGCGAGTCGTTCGTTGGAATTATGTAATATCTTAAAATCAAACGCGTCCTTTTCTTTTTTTCCATATTCATCCATCTTCAACCTCCGCCTCCCAAATATTATATTTCTTTTTCTTTTTCGCGCATTTTTCATCCTCTTCTCTACCCTTGTTACATATCATTCTCCAATTCTATCACTTATATTCGCATCACTCACTTCCTGTTTCACATTATATATATATATTCTATTTTCTCCAAATCTTCTTCTCCTTGTCCACAATTTTTTCTACTTTTTTTCGTCTCTTTCACTTTCACATTCCTTACAATAATTCAATCCTTGGCCGTCGCGATTCAACTTTCAACATTCCCGCGTATAATTCATTCTTTCGTTCGTTTCTCGGATTCTCTACAACTACTTCTTCTTTCGCTAGACAGAGATCACAGCCAAAATGGAACGTCCGTCTCGAGAAGGAGGACACCTGGTTACCGAAAACTTGGCTATTCCACAACCAGACACGTCGTTTCTCGTTGCGAACGCTAATTGGATTGAAAAATGGAAGGGGAAAGAATGGAGGAAGAAAAGGAGAACTCGCCAACTTACCTTATTGCCATACTTTTCGCTTTCAAGTGATGCCATCGCTGGTTCATCTCGTCCAGTCGTCGTTGCAGCATAACAGCGTCATCTTGGCTCGCCAAAGAGCTCAACAGCTTCCGGCCTGTGCCGTTCAACGACGTGTACACGTCTCGGTGCGTCTCGATTTCCGATTGGAGGTCCTGTAACAAAAAAACAAAATATTCTTGTTAATAAAATATTATCGATATAATATTATTAAAATAATATTTAACCACTTAAAGAGAAACATCGTACGATCCTCCAATATTCCACAGGCTTCGAATCAAGTCTTATGCTTTTTCTCATTAACGCAATTCGCGCAACGATTTAAATCCGATATAAATAATAAATCGGAATTTACAGGACAACGATTCTCTCAGATCAAAATATTTTCCCCAACTTTCCAATTTGCACCGTGTTCGACAGGGAAATAAAAAATATACGAGAAAAAAAAAAAAATACCGATTGACGCGTTGCAAAACTAATCAAAACTGTGCGGAATTGCGGTGGGATATATACGAAACCTCAAATAGACACACTGTAACCAACCACTGGATTCGGAGAGAGAGAGAGAGAGAGAGAGAGAAGAAAAATCGTGACTTTATAACGGCAACGTACGTGAGAAGGGTGAACGGCTGTAATGAAATAGAACAGATCGATGCGAGTTATATCGACGCGTTATCGATGAAATTTCATTTAAGAGGTGGTGTTAAAGCATATAATCCTGTTATGAAACGGATATTATTAAATAAAGGCGATGGAACCTGTCCTATCCACGTCAAGATGCGGGAAACATCCATCCAGGGGGTGGAAAATTTCAAGAATTTGCGCGATATTTCCCTCGCCGATTTTCTCTCTCTCTCTCTCTCTTTGAAAAGAAAGTCTGTACACGCGTCTGCGAGAAAAATCTGGGAGTGAAGGGGGAGGGGAAGGCTTGCACGCGGTGTTCCGTCATCGCGATGACGTGAATTGCGGCGAAAGGGTTTGGCCAAAAGTGATTTATGCCGCGTTCTCATGTACCACGTTATCCAGGGGGCGAGGAGGGGCTAACAGGTTGACGCGCGATGCCAGACACCGATGAAAATAAATCGTGGCCATTCGAATTTTTTAAGAAACGTTCCTCCGTCCGATGATCCACCCTTTCCCCGCCAGAGTTTAATAGAAATCGGCGTCTGTGCAGAAGGTGAAACATCGTTCCCCTTAAGTGGATTCCAACCTTCTTCTTTTGTTCCCCTCTGCATGCGTTGTACATTCGATGCAGATGAAATCGTGATTTAGGAGTAACGCCGTTCCACGGAAATTTATTTATGGATACCACGCGTATATTGGTATTTACGGCCAGGCGAGGAGAGATACCTGTTTTGGAATTTAGATTCGCCTTCATTTGTATACGTTTATTTCTTCTTAAAAAATTGCATCGCTTTGAAGATTTGTTGACGGGAGAATTTAAAAAAAAAGGAATTCAGTATTTCATCTATTCCTACTCTTGGAAAAACCTATCCTTTCGCTCCACAATTTCAGCGGAACGAATCCGCGGAGAAGAAGCCACACGAATCCTCGAAACGTACGTAATTTTAATCTCCTTCCACACGATCAATTCTCCATCAAGTTTGCTGACCATCTGTGATGCAACACGCACAACGAAACTGCACGCGAAATGATTAAACGGACGGAGATTTCTTCAAGTTCTAAAGTTAAGGAGAATCGGTAAGAACACACGATTCTCTGAAATTTTCGCTTCGAATGGTGATGATGATGGTTTCTCCAAATTTTTTCCACCACGGAGGGAAGCGGATAATAATTCAACAGCCTTTCTTCTCTCGGATGTTAAACTTTATAATTCAACGGATTGAAAGTCGTTCCGCTTCGCGACACTCTGTCTGGCTCTCTTTCTCTCTCTCTCTCTCGAGCATTGATCTACCCTGATTTTTCCACGCACAAACATTTTTACTTCGCGCTGGCTATTCCACGAATATTTTTCTTTCTTTCTTTCTCTCTTTCTCTCTCTTGTTTGGAACGATGCAGAGATCTGGTGCATTTTCACGATTTTAAACCGATGCGGTTGACGCGTATAACACGGGTACAAGGCGTATCATAAAACGAGAGAGTGTACCGAGAGTGATGAACAGCCATGCTCGGAATTTATGCGGGCAAAAAACATTTTTGGGGGGGAGCCGATCGTTCGTCATTTCGAACGAAGAATTCGTTTTGCAAACTTTTTTTTTTCACTTTTTTTTCACGACGAAATATCAATCCCAATTTCAAGTATTCGAATTCTTTTTAATCATATCCCGTTGTGGATATTTTATTTCAACGATTATATATATATATATATATATATATATATATATATATATATATATATATATAT